GCCATTTTCCGTGGAATTACAACCCTCCTCCCAAAACTGTGTATAGAATTATAGAAAGTAATGTGGACATATATTTTGCAGGGGAAGAAAACCTAGATTCTTAAAGGGATCTGTCACCTCAAGAAGGTTGTTAGCTCAGCAGTGGACGTGTCCCTTGTTCCTCTCTGAATCTAAAAATTCTAACACGGTTCCTGGGGCATCATTGTTGACCACGGGTTCTTCAGAATCCCCTGCAGAACTTACTCAAACACAAGTAGCTGGTCCCAGCCCTTGCAGTTTCTGACTCAGCTCTGGGTGAGGGCCTCGGAATTTACTAGTTCCCAGGTGAAGCTGAACCACCTATTCCCGAGAACCCACTCTTCGAACCACTGAGGTAGACTATGTGTGGACTGAATGTACATGGCCCTCCCCCTTTCTGATTTCACAAGCAACCTCAGGAGTTAGCCAGCCCCTGCCATGCTTAGGGAAACAGCACATGGTGGTTCTGGTGGCCTCGGAGCAGCTCCACCCACCACTGTGGTCGATTTGGGTCATTATGGCTTTCTTTTAAAGATAGGAAATGAGGAAGTTCACCCTCGGAGCTCTGTCACCGGGGGAAGGATTGAATTTCAGCATGCTGCGCTGGCTTTAAACCAATCTGTGTGCCAGATCTGTGCTTGGCCTTCTGCACCAGGAGTGGGGGACTGGCAGTCTGGTAATTAGCCTACGTCATTTTGCTGTTACTGTGACGTTCCTGCTACGAGTCTTGCTGCGGGCCAATCTATTCCCTACCCTAAGAGGGCTGTCCCTGCTCCCAGCACCTGGAAAAGCTTAGTGGAGCTGAAGTACAGTGAACAGCTGTAACCAGTGACTCATCAGTTTCAGGAGGAGTAGAAAATATGCGATTATACTCTTTGCCACAATTTAGTAGATGCAGTGGTGTGCCTTCCCAGAAACCTACCTCCAAGTCTCTCAAGCCCCTCCCTTCTGCCATTTATTCTCGTATCTTCTTTTTCTTCTCCTCTCCTCTCCTCAACAGAGTCTCAATCTTGTCGCCCCAGCTAGAGTGCAGTGGCATCATCATAGCTCACTGCAACCTCAAACTCCTGGGCTCAAGTGATCCTCCTGCCTCAGCCTGCCTAGTGCATGGGACTACAGGTGCACGCCACCATGCCTGGCTGATTTTTTTATTTTTTGTTGAGACAGGATCTTGCTCTTGCTCAGGTTGGTCTCTAACCAACGGTCTCAAGTGATTCTTCCACCTCAGCCTTCCAAAGTGTTAGTATTACAGGCGTGAGCCACCTCGCCCAGGCTGTCTTCTTTTTCTGTCTTCATTTTCCTCCCTGTGTTGCCCCGTCCCTGCTTCCCCCACCCAGGGGTCTGTCTCTTTCGCCTCCTGTTCCCCTGCAGCTCCTTCTGGTCCCTTCTCCCTCCCGTCCCTTACCAATCTCCCTCCTCCAGCCTTTCTCCTATGGTAGTTTCTTCCCCGCTTCAAAGGCCATGTGTAGAAGGGAGGCATTGTGCCAGATATTTGTATTTGATGCAAGAGCTTTTTGACTTGTTCTTAATTTAGGCAGCAGGTGAGCCACTCTCAGGTGACCTCTTTTCCCTGGAGTCATTCTTGTCCTGGAAGTCTTCCCTGCAGCTGCTGAAGACCTCTGCCCAATCAGGCAGCTAGGAGTTCCTTCATTAAGTGACCTTTGTTAGGTTTTGTGCAAGTTTCAGATTCTCACAGTCCTTGATACTTCTTGACCCTCCATGAGGATCAGTTCCATGGGCTTTCCGGGTTAACGTGCATCGTCCGTCTTCAACAGAAATGCTGTCTTATCAGCTCTCTTTCACACTTACTGAGATTGAGCATTAGTGAGTGCAGACTGTTAGAAGAGCAGCTCAGGATGGGAGAAGAGTTTTGTTGGGTAGAAGACTGTGTCCTGATCCAGTCCTGCTGGATACCTCGGGCGGTTAGCTCACCCCGTGATCCTCAGTGTCCAGCCTCAATTGTTGAATGGATTAAGGTGTTGAGTGAAAACACCTTGAAAGTTACACTTTGACACATAAAAGCAAGTTAATACTAATATCCACAACATTAAATTCTGTCATTGGCTACCTCCAAGATAGCCTTTAGGGGAAATCAGTAATTTATCTAATTTATCCTCAGTGTGTGAAATAGCAAAAACTGACCTATGAATATTTTTATTATTAAACCTTTTAAGCAACCAAGTTTAGTCAAATAGACAAGAAGTAATCATTAAATACATTTAAGGGTTATAAACATATTGTCTGTATCAGCCCAGAGGTAGGAATTGAACATGGAAAATTAACATAAAGAATTATTAAATTAATGAAAAGGGATTAATTGCTGGGGGCTAAAGACAACTTTAAAGCATGAGTCAGCAAACTATGTCCTTGGGCCAAATCTGGCTGTTGCTTGTTTCTGTGAATAAAGTTTTATTGTAACATTGCCATGCCCTTTGGTTACTTTCAGGCCTGTTGGAGAGTGTGGCTGTGGCTTAATGGGATGGTGGTGAAGCTTGCTGAGGGTGCCACAGGCTGGAGCAGGTGGCCAGGGAACCACCCAAAGGGTAGCAGTGGGGCTCCTTGGAGGGTATACCCCTGGATGTCCCCGAGAAGGCCTTCCTGCTGCCATGCTGTAGGAGCAAAGCCAAGAAAAGCCCAAACCAAAAAACATTGGCACCTAGGAAAAGCCCTTTCTCGGCAGCACCCTCCACGGTCAGGGCTCACCTTGTGTCTCTGCCTTGGGACAAACAGTCTGAGTGAGCATTGACCTTACTTGGAGGGAGTGGAGCTGAGTGCCCTTAGGAAGGGGAAGGAGGATGGTTCCAGCTGAGCAGTCAGCCCTGCCCAGCGTGTGCCTATGCCTGTGCCTGGGCTGTCGCAAAGGAACAGCCTCCCTGCCCCTGCTAATGTGGCAGACACCATGTAAGCCCGGGGAGACGGTGGTGCCTATCTCATTCTGACCTCTTTATGATGGGATTTATGACAGCTGTGTGCATATTTGGGTTTTATTAGGAATATGGGCATGGTTCCTAAGGAAAATGTCGTTAATCATCCATTCGTTTTGCCAGTAAGCAGTTATTCACTGGTTCCCACATGCGTTGTGGCAAAACAGAAATAAAGGAGTGAATCACTTTTTAAAAATTGAATTAAAATATTTTGGAAATATTTTTATTTTCTGGGGCAATTCTTTAAAAATAATTATTACTTTGTTTAAATCTCTTTTTGCCTTTTGTGAATGTAAAAACATTTTAACATTACAAATGTTTTATAGGAATTACCTATACTTTCACTATTAAATATTAGATTTTCACTATATAGCTTTAATTTTTTTGATTTTGCGTATTTTTAGTCCCTGTCTATAGCACATATTTTACTTAATTATAATAATTGTGCACTTGTTTAGGTATTGCTTTTTTTCATAGCATGTCAAAACATCTTTGTAGAGTCCAGTTAAATCAAGTCATTGAAATTAAATATGAGCATTTGTACATACATTAGGCAGACCTAGCTGACTGCCGCATCAGACAACTCTGGAATCTCAGTGGCTGAACACAGTAGATGTTTCAGTTCTTGCTCACGGGGTATTTCATGCCTGTTTTAAGCAGGCAGCATTCTGCAGGGTAATTCGGGATCCAGACTCCTTCTGTCTTAGGGCTCCATCCTCTCCTCAGGCCTCCCAGTCCACTGCTGGGTCCTGTGTGCGTGGCTGGCAGAGGGCAGTAGCGGGAGAGAACACATGGAAGTAGGGGAGGGTCAGGTGAGGCAGTGGCTACATCCTTTCTGCTCAAATGCCATTGTTAGAAGACCGTCACTCAACCATGGGGAGGCGGGGAAATGACATCTCTCTGTACTGGGAAGAAAAGGAGACAGGTTTTGGGAACATATAGCAGCTTTAGTCGCAGTTGCCAATGTAGATGCCACATACCAGATGTCTTTAATATAGGTGCTGTATATAAATTGTCATTTTAAATATATATAGCATTTATTGAGATTATATATTAGATGATTTTTTAATTAATAGTTTCAAAAATAATCTTGTAACTATTGATATAATTGTCTTAGTTACTTCTGATAACACCCTATATATATGTATGTGTGTGTGTGTGTGTGTGTGTGTGTGTGTGTATGTGCCTATTTTGGCATTTGGCATACTGTCCTATAGTTGAATATGTATCTTTATCCCCAACCTAGTCCAGTTGGTGCTTTACATGCGTAAAGTGATCCATAAACACCGTGGCAATGACAGACAATAGATAAAAGAGATTTTAACCAGAAAGACTAACTTTGGAAATAGCTGGAAAAGGCATGTTATTTTTTCTTTCCCTACTTCCTACCTTTTTCTTTTACTCAGTGTGTGTTACTGATGGACACCCCCAGCTCCTAGAGTTCACCTACAAGCCTAGGTTAAGTAGTACCTTTTCCCCTCTCCCATGCTTGCCTGATTTTGGCCCATCTCATTCTTTTTCTATGTTTAGATACTACACATTGTAAGTGTAGATATTTTGGGATAGACAGGGATATTTTGAGACCTAGAGAAGGTTTTGTGAAGCCTTATATGAAATAATGAGTACTGTGGATGCATTTAGGCCCTGGGCCAAGAAGGGATGGTATCATGGCTGGAGCTGTTCTGGGCATCCAGCCTTGACTGCCAGGCCATGGCTGGACCCCTAATCAGGGTAGCTCAGGCAGACCCTAAGCCTTGGAAGGGGACAGATATAGTCAGGGGTGACCAGAGAAATGACTGGAAGCTCCACCAGAATGCAGAGCTTCTTTTGTGCTTAAATTATTGAATATGTATCACTCTGTATATACAGGGTACCATGAAGCATCTTTTGTCCCTTTGAAAACAACTTTTATTTGTATTTCTGTCTGTTTCTGATATCAAAACTAGCATACTGTAATTGTGGAAAATACAAAACATAGAGTAGAATGTATTAAGCTCTTTCATCTTAGGAAATTGCATTTGTTTATAAGAATGTCTCACTTACCTTTTTGCCTTCCAGGCAAAGCCAAAGCTAATTGAGCCACTAGACTATGAAAATGTCATTGTGCAGAAGAAGACTCAGATCCTGAATGACTGCTTAAGGGAGATGCTGCTCTTCCCTTATGATGACTTTCAGGTAAATAACTTTACATTTCTGTCAATAGAACCATGTACTCGGGCTTCACAAATAAGTGTTTTTCTATTTATCGAGTTATTATTCGGTTAATTTGTGATTTTTAAAAGATGAAAATAAGATGTTATTTAAGAGAGAAAAGTTATGTCATATTCTTCCAAGCATTCCTTCATGAACTGATAATTTTTAATGGTATTAACTTTGCATATTAATGATATATGTGCAAAATATGTGTGTGTTTTATCGAGAATAAAAAAGTGCTACACTCTGGGCTGATTTAGTGGATAGTTGCCTCTTATGTTGTAGGACATTTGTTTAGATTTAAATTTTGATTTAGATATATTGGACATACACCTTAGGGTCTTAAGGCTGGGCTTTGCTGGGGAGCAGTGGAGGTTTTTGTCATGCAGTCTCCTAGGATGGTATTTTGAGAGCCTGCCCTGAGAGGCCATCAACTGTGTGTGGGCTCCCAGTGGAGGGTTTGCCAGGAGTGTCATGACATCACTCTCTGGTATAACGTAGGTGCTCTTCCTTGAAGGAATGTGGAGGATTCAGCACAGCTCCTGCTGTGAGCCGCTCTCCAGTTGGAAGCTTGAAGTCTCTCAGGCAGTGGCCTGTGGCTAAGTAACCAAGGAGAAGCTTTGAGGCTATTGAGGAGTGAGAATAACATTCTTCCTCCAGGAAACCCAGTGGTGATAGATGCCTGACAACCTAGAATGACCTCGGTCCTTTTGGAGGTTCTGGTTACTTCCCTTGGTCTCCTGGGACCAATCTTGTCTCTTCCTTCTTCTCTACCTCAGTGCTCTTAACCTGGGCACTTCTCTACGTGATGCTGTTTCCATCCAAACTCTGTCTTCTGTGAACTGATCTGCCTTATTTTTTAAGCTTTACTGATTCTTTGTTGTTTAATTCAAAAAGTATTTTATACTTATACAAAAAAATAAATGACAGATTAAATATTGAAATAATTGACATTAAAATCTCCTCCCCACCTTCTTTCTAATCGCACTCCTAAGAACATAACCTACTCCATATGGTTCTGTGTGTACTGAATTGTCTTTAGAAACTTCCATGTTAATAACAGTTATAATCCTTGAAGTTTTTTTTCCCTATCAAATTTAAGAGACTCCAGTTTATAACAGAGGTGAGACTTTCCACAGATGTTCACTTTAATTTGTTAGAGTTATGTGGGCAGAAAAATTATTCTTTATCCCTTTCCTGAAAAAAAGGAATGCCATGGGAATGAAATTGACCATACTGTGATATTGCTGCCAGTGTATGTTGCACTGGTAAATGGGTTCAGATCATACCAGAAAATACCCTTCTTTGAAAATTTCATTATATGAATAGACTACACAGTAAAGGACAAATAAATGGGAACCTCAGAATAATACCCTTTGCCTGTGATTTGGCAACAAATGAGAAACAAAATCAGATGATTGTAAATTTTACTCCATGTTGACAAGTTTTTCCTGTACTAGTCTCTGAGGAAGCTAAAGGTTATTTCAGGTTTCTGTGAGCATGAAGTATATGTTCTTCTTGGTAGTAATTAGAGCAACAAAGTTGCTTTGTTTTGTTTTTTTGAGTTTGCGACCTAGAATGTAAAGTTGAATTTGCAGACCTGAGATAAAATTGCTTAAGAAACAAACCAAATAAATAAGATACAGATAATTTAATATCACTTTTTATCCCTGGACAGGATACCTGGATTTTAAGCAGTTGTAAAATCAGACAATTGAAACTGAGAAAACCTTTGTCCCTTTTGCCTGTAAATAACTACTTCTCCTTCTCTAGTGGCATCAGGCATGTGTATCCTAGGAAAGGCCAAGAATGAATGAGCAAGTGTTATTTTCTGTTTGGGAGAAGTTTTCCAAAGATTAAGGAGCTTGAATTAAAGCTTTGATCCCTATTGTAGGAATTGTGATGGGCCCCAGTTGAGTTTGGGTAGAATTATTTGTTTTCTTATAGATTCCCACTCTCTCATCTGGTAAAGCCATTTACACTGTGCTTTCTTTCTAAATTTTCTTGGTGATGTTATCAGCTGTCTAATTAGCTGGATGAGTAAAAGGTCTTAGCAATGCCAAGACCTTTTCCTTCTCCAACAGAGTCCTTCTCTGTTTTCTTACAATAAGAACAGAATTAGCATTTTTTTAATAATTAGAGGCAGAGGGAACGAATTAGATCAGCAGAAAATATTTTATTTCATACGGAAAAATGATAGCAAGTAGGTTAGGAAATGGGTCAAATAGTGAGCAAAATGCATGCTGAGGGGGGATTTACTGCACTTAAATATTTAAGTGTGGTTGGCGATGATGCATTTGTACATTTCTCAAGCAAGGCACTTGTTGATCTTGAGCCCTTATTGGTAGGGTCCTAAGAACAGCTGAACGTTCTCTGAAAATGAGTTGTATAGAAAAAAGATTTGTTGGTTGCATGTTCACCTAAGGATGGGAGAAGAGTGTTTAAAATAAAAAGAAGAAAGAGAGAGAGAGGGGAAGTAAATGTAGATTTAAAAAAATCAAAACAATAGTTCCCAACTCTCAGAGTATTTATGAAGTCAAGTATTATCTGCCATGGCCAGGGATAGGAATGCCACAGGAAATACAGCCATCACTGGCTGATGGCACTTCTTTTTTCAGGCTCAGACCCTAGTGCCTGGGGATCTGTCTTTGCCTTCGCATTGTTGTTATTCTTGCCAGCAGCGTCTTCTCTTCTCAATCTGTCTTACTCTTTAGAGGTCACTTGAAATCTCACACCCTCTGAGGCTATTTAAGTCCTCGGGGACTTGTTTTCCCATTCTCTTAATTCCTCTACTACTCCCTGTCTACGCTGGATACGTTAACACGTCAGTACGTTGTCTCGGTCCCTTACTAAGTGCTTTGTGCTTTTGTGTTCAGGTGTCACCCCGCGCTGTGGTCCTGAAGAGCGCTCAGCGCTGGGTTGACGCCTCTGTCCACATACCTTCGTGCACACATAATCCCTAGTGCACTGGGCACTGGGGTTGAATACCTGCCACTACATTACAAATTGATAAAATTATTATGAGTGTTAGGTTATTTTTCTTTGATTCCTGAAGTAAATATTAAATACCATGTGGCACACGTGGAAGTCCTGGTGACTTAGATTTGTAAAAATGCTTGCCAGATCAATGATTTGGTTTGGTGGAAACTAGATCATTTCTGAAATTAAAAAATGCAGGGGAAACATGGTCTGAAAAGGAGTATATTTTCCAGTGATTAATGAACCTTTACTGTTAAAGTTTTGTGGCCTTACCAAGTTTACTTGGCATAAGTCTGAGAACTTACTTTTCCATGAGCAAAATTTTAGGTAAACTTTAATAGGCAATTAGACAGAGGGGATAACCTTTAGATTAATGTTTTATATCAAGAAATGTAAGTTGACTGGCTGCTTGAGAAATGGCAAAGCTTTGTAAAACTAGAAGTAATACCTTTCCAGCCAGAGACAGAATCTGGGGTGGGGGCTGACCATTGATTTCCAATCACAATTCTCCTTCAAGCGGAAGTCCTTTACCAGGTGATTCTGTTGGTGGTGATATTCTTAACTGTTGCGATGAATCCACTGAGTCTTCATCTGGCTTTTAAGCTCCTTGTATCCTGACTTGTTACACAACTTACTAATGTTCGTGCCATTATGTAAAGTGGTAGAATATGAAAACGGTAGTAAAGGATGTTGGGAGGCAATTTATGGATACTATTCATATTTCATAAAAATTAGACTTTGGTGTCTGGTATAAACAAGGGATAGCATTTGTGTGGAAGGATAAAAAGAGCATGTTGTATCCACTTCTGGGTATATGCCCAAAAGACTTGGAAGCAGGGACTAAAGAGACACTATGTTCATGGCAGCATTATTCACAATAGTCAAAAGGTAGAAGCATCCTGACAAAGGGATGCTTCTGACAAAAGGTGATGCATCCTGACAAAAGGATAAACAAAATGTGGTATTTACATACAACAGAATATTATTCGGCCTTAGAAGGGGGAAGGAACTCCTGTCACATGTTAAAATATGGATGGACCTTGAGGACATTATGCTTAGTGGAATAAGCCAGTTACAAAAGGGCAAATACTGTATGATTCTGCTTATCTGAAGTCCCTAAAGTAATCAAATCCAGAGAGACAGAAAGTAGAATGGTGGTTGCCAGGGGCTAGAGGAGAAGGAATGGGAAGTGAGTGTTTAATGGGTACAGAGATTCAGTGTGGGAAGATGAAAAGAGTCCTGGGGATGGATGGTGGTGATGGTTGAACAGTGAAAACGCACTTATTGCCAATGAACTGTACACTTAAAAATGGTTAATATGCTAAATTTTATGTTTTGTATGTTTTGCCACAATTAAAAAGAGTGTGCCATTATAGGATCTCTGTGCTATATTTATGGATGCAAAACTGTTGTCTTAGAACTAAGTGCAAAGTCAGGGTGAGGAGTGATTCCTCAGGTGCTTTTTCTACTGATATTCATGGTGTATTATCAATATCAGTGTCTTAGAAGGAAAATTTAAAAGGAAGGATGGAAATACAGAGCAAAGATTATTAAAAATTGACAATCCTAGAAATTTTCCTTTTTGGAGATGTTTAGATACAGGAGAATCCTAGAGTGTTCTCAGCATTGTATAGAAAAATGTGGTTACTCCATTTCCCTTTCAATAACATCCTGATTTTTATTTTTCCTCTGGTTCTTTTCCTCTTCTACTTACATGAGACTGATAATGATCTACAAACCACTGGCCTGGAGAGGAAGCCAAGCCCTGCTACTTACAAAGGCCTGGAAGTCACTGATCTCATTTCCCATCTGTCCTTTTGAAAAGAAAATATTTTTTTTCACGGTGTTTTGTCCTCACTTTTTTATTATATGCTGCCAAAAAACAAAAAACAAAAAAACCTCAATACTTTGTTTTTGTCTTTTTATTGAAAAGTGTTCTTTTTATAAATTCCTCGAAATTTTTATCAATCATAATTCGGTGGCCAGCAATGTAACTTTCCGTG